ATACAAATGTGTGTCATCTTCATTTATGACGGGGGCTTCAATGACACGCAATGTAAGTCATACATGCGTGTCATAAATTTATTACACACAAATGTGTGTCATATTCATTTATGACGGGGGCTTCAATGACACGTAATGAGTATCATAAATGCGCGTCATAAATGCGTGTCATAAATGTGTGTCATAGATTTATGACACACAATTGCGCGTCATCAAAAATTCATGTCGGTGGCTTCAACGACAGGCATTTGTGTGTCATATGCACCCATAGATGACGCGCAATGCGCGTCATTAAAGGGGTTTTTTCTAGTAGTGTATGCAAATGCAAGTTAATTTCCTATGTATATTCTCATTTACACTCACTTTCCAATATGGTATCTTTCGGCGAGTATTCTAGGGATCATTGGTAAGCTTTCGCTGTTGCGCACTCTCGACAATGGCCATGGAGTCGTCCAAGAGTTTTGCACATAAGAAAGTAAGCATATCCTCGATGAAATGAATTTTCTACTATGGAAACAACAGATCTTACTCACGGTTTGAAGCCACCGTCTCAAACGGTTATTGACCGTTGCCTTGAAACCACCACCGGAGACAGTTCTTGACAACAATGGCGAACCGACTGTCAATGATGCCTTTGAAGAATTCGTGGCACAGGACAATGTGTTTGCGTCATGGCTTCTTCCCACCATCAGTCCTCACCTTCTACCACAATTCGTTGGAGCGGATTTGGCTGCCGCAGTATAGATCACGGTACAACAGTTGTTTGGCAGCATATCTACTACTTTTGCCATGGGATTGCACTGTAAGTTGCAATCGTTAAAAAAAAGGAATGATACTATGAGGACCTATCTTACCATAGTTACGGAGGTTTGTGATTCACTCGCCTCTTGTGGAAGTGTCGTATCACATGTTAGTCATATAGCTAGTGTGCTGAAAGGATTACCCAGGGAGTATCAACCGTTCATGGCGATTATCACTACGTTGAAAGAAACCCTCTCGCTGGAGGATCTACATGCATACAATGTTTCTCGATGCTGAAGCCCAGCTAGCTGATTTTGATGAGTCTTTGGACTCATTACCTATGAGTACCAATGTTGGTCAGCATGAGGTGAAATTCTCTAATGACAGTCGTGGTTCCAAAAAACTCTCAACTGTCCTCAGACAATCAGTCTGCTGGTTGTGGCCGAGGAAGAACCAGAGTGCAATGCCAACTGTGCGGCAAGCTTGGTCACCTCATTGACCGCTGTTGGCATCAGTTCAATGAAGATTTCATGTACGTTACCGCTGAGTCTCGACCTCACAAAAATTAATCTGCCAATGTCTATTACTCAGCTGCTGAAACATCCAGTTCGGGGTGTGACTGCTACAATGGTCGGTCAAACAAGAGCACGAACACCACAGGTCAATGTAGCTTATAAACCAGCCGATCTCTGGGTAGTGGATTCGGGTGCAACTCACCACGATACCCCTGACATTAACAACATTCTAAGCTCCACTGAGTTTAGAGGCCCAGGTAAATTAACTATGGGAAATGGGGTTTCCCTTGACATTCACAATATTGGTAATTTGGTTATGGACCCTTCAAGATCTTTATTTTTGAATGACTTACTGCATGTGCCCCGTATAACACAAAATTTACTTTCGGTCTCCAAGCTTGCTAGGGATAATGCAATTTATGTTGAGTTTCATGCTAGCAAATGTAATATTCGAGATGAATCAACTAGGAATGGTCTGCTGCAAGGTGAATAAAAGGATGGGCTGTACACCTTTGCATTTGGTTGTTCACATAGAGTAGAACCTGGTGCTGCTTCTCATGTCGTGACTGCAGATGTTACTCGAGTCCAGTCCGAACTATGGCACCGACGCCTAGGACATCCAACTCAATATGCTTTAGATAAAGTAGCTAAAGAAGTCAATGTAAAGCTTGATTATGAGATTAATAAAACGTGTGTGGCTTGCCTTATGGCAAAAGCCACAAGCTTCTTTTTGATTCCTCTAAAACTCTGTATAAAGGTCTATTTGAACTTATTTTCTCAGATTTGTGGGGACCCTCACACATTGCATCTAACAGGTTTCGATACTACATCTCGTTTGTAGATGCGTATACTCGGTTTACATGGGTATACTTTCTAAAAGACAAGGCTCAAGCCTTATTTGCTTTCCAGCTTTTCCACAAGCTTGTATTGAATCAGTTTGGTGGATCGATTAAGGCAGTTCAAACAGAATAGGAAGGAGAATATCGCCCCTTCTCTATGATGCTAGCCCAAGCAGACATAGTGCATCGACTGTCCTGCCCCCATACATCGGAGCAGAACAATGTTGTCGAGCGCAAACATCCTCACATAGTGCTTGCTATGACAACATCTTTGCACCTCATTAATCGGCTACCAACCAAGGTGATTGAAGGGCTATCACCATTTGAAAAGTTGTTCAGCAAGAAACCCGAATATACTACTCTAAAAGTCTTCGGGTGCCAGTGCTTTCCTCACCTAAGGCCATTCCAAAACTATAAGCTGTCATTTCGCTCACAACCCTACATATACTTGGGGTTTAGTCCTCGATATAAGGGTTACCAATGCCTTGCAGGTGATGGAAGGGTTTATATTTCGTGACACGTGGTGTTTAATGAAATGGTATTTCCATTTGCAGGTAAAGAGGAAATAAACTCTCAGCACAACACAAAATATTCCAGTTGTTACTAATATGAAAATATGTCATAATGTGGCTTGTACTGCTCGTGATGAAGATGGTGTGGCTAAAGAAGTCGTTTTAGATTAAGCACAATAAACCGAGGTTGTTGCTGAAGCTACAACCCCGTTAGAGTCAACCAATGAGGTTAATGCTGCCTTGGATACAACCACGACCTCCACCCCTAATACATGTCCCAATGTAGCTGACTCAGACGTGCATGCTAATGCAGGAGCAACTACACGTCATAATGCCTCGAATGAGGCTGGTGATATAGACTTAATGAGACGAAACCACTATCCAATGCTGACTCGCAGCAAGTGCGAGGTGTTCAAACCCTAGTCTTACTCCGCTTATTTTGAGAACAATATATTTGCCTCAATTCATGAGGCGCTACAATCTGACAACTGGAGTGAGGCAGTTCGAGACGAGATAGAGGCACTTCAGAGAAACAACACATGGTCGTTAGTGAAACTACCAGCAGGTTGTACACCCGTAGGCTGCAAATGGCTATTAAAACTCAAATGGAATTCGGATGGCACCGTTCATCGATATAAAGCCAGGTTAGTTGCGAAAGGCTACTCCTAGGTGCCAGGGTGTGATTTCACTGACACCTTTAGCCCAGTTGTAAAATTTCCCACCTTCAATGTTGTGTTAACTCTGGCTGTGACAAACGGATGGAAATTGAGGCATGTGGACATCAACAACGCGTTCCTTAACGGGGACTTAGGCGAAGATGTTTTTATAAAGTAACCGCCAGACTTCGAGTAAGTGGCTGCAGATGGTTCTCCTCTCGTCTGTAAGTTACAAAAGGCTCTTTATGGCCTTCGAAAAGTACCCCGTAACTGGCACACTAAGCTTAAAGCCAGCCTTGTGGAAATGGGATTTAGCTCATCTCATGCAGACTCTTCCTTATTTGTCAGTAGAAATCATGGTAATGATGTCTATGTACTAGTATACGTTGATGATATTGTCATCACTGGACAATCTACTGCTCGGATACAAGAGGTGGTGCAATCGCTCAGTCAAAAGTTCTCGCTCAAGGACTTGGGCCTATTCAGCTATTTTTTAGGTATTGAGGTGCATCGATCACGAGACACTATTATATTGAGCCAAAATAAGTTCATACTATAGCTGCTGGAAAAATTTGGTATGGCAGGAGCACCTAGCTGTGGAACACCGATGATTTTGTCTTCCAAATTGTCAGCAAATGAGGGGTAATTGCTTTCTAATGCCACCAAATATCGTAGTAAAGTAGGCTTTTTATTGTATGTGTGTCACACGCATCTAGACCTGGCATATAACGTTGGGAAAGTGGCATAATTCATGCACACTCTGAGAGAAACTCACATGGTTGCTGTCAAAAGAATATTGCGGTATCTGGCAGGATCGGTTCATTATGGACTGATGTTTCAACTAGGAGATGATTGGCTGTCAGTTGCAGCCTTTGCTGATGCAGACTGGGGAGCAAATATTGATGACCGACGATCGGTTTCTGGCTATAGTGTCTTTGCTGGAAAGTGCCTTATTGCCTGGAGCTCGAAGAAGCAGGAAACGGTGTCAAGATCGACAATGGAAGCTGAGTACAAGTGTGTAGCAGACACTGCTGCTGAGGTAACCTGGGTAGGTGCCTTGCTTAATGATCTTGAGCTGTCGCAACTCCAGGAACCAATGATCTGGTGCGACAATACAGGGGCTGTCGCGTTGAGCGCAAATCCCATCTACCACTCCCAATCTAAGCACATTGATATGGATGTGCATTTTGTACGAGAAAAAGTTGCAGCCGAACAATTATTAGTAAACTATATACCAGCTGCGCACCAAGTTGTAGATGGCTTCACCAAGGCTTTGTCGAAGATTGCCTTTGAAGAGTTTCAGAAAAATGTGTGTGTAGTGCCTGTTGTATAAGTAAAGTTGATTAAAAAAGGGAGAAAAGAAAGAGTAGGGGGAATGTTAGATTACTGTCAATGTTGCACGTGTGCATGAGAAGGCAGTTAGTTTGTTAGGTTGGTTATGCCAAGGTGGTTAGTTTGTTAGATGGTTAATGGAGTTGATGAGAGCCTAACCTTCTTGTATAAATACAATGTACCAGCTGATATGCAAATGCAAGTTAATTTCCTGTGTATATTATCGTTTACACTCACTTTCCAATATGGAGAGAAGCATTGCTTTGTTCTTTTTCGAGAATAAGTTGGATTTTAGTGTAGCTCGTTCTTCGTCATATCAAGCAATGATTGATGCAGTTGGAAAGTTTGGTAAATATGACAAAATAAACACAAACATTATCCAAGTTTCCATACAACAATGCATCGATGCTTGATTTAATGAAGAAGTTCATCGGGGGACAGGAGCTCATAAGAATTGGAATAACAAAGTCTGTTTCCAGCTTTCTATCGTTGCAATCAATTTTGAAACAGAGATCAAGACTGAAGCATATGTTCAATAGTCCTGAATATTCAACAGACTCCTATTCAAATAAACCGCAGAGCATTTCTTGCATCGCCATTGTCGAGGACGATGACTTTTGGAGAGCAATTGAAGAATGTGTGGCAATATCTGAGCCTTTCTTGAAGGTGTTGAGGGAAGTATCTGGAGGGAAACCTGCTGTCGGTTCTATATATGAACTAATGACCAGAGCCAAGGAATCGATTAGGACATACTATATAATGGATGAGAGTAAGTCGAAGACATTTTTGGACATAGTTGACAGACAATGGAGGGACCAACTTCATTCACCTTTACATTCTGCAGGGGCATTTTTAAATCCTAGTACCCAATATAATCCGGAAGTAAAATTTCTGGGATCTATAAAAGAAGACTTCTTCAAAGTTCTAGAGAAACTACTTCCCATACCCGAGTTAAGACGTGACATCACCAATCGAATTTTCACTTTTACCAGAGAAAAGGGGCTGTTTGCTTGTAATCTTGCAATGGAGGCACGAGATACAGTTTCTCCTGGTACGTACGCAGATTTCTGTTCCGCCATTGGTTGCTTTTTGTGTGTGCATGTGTGTGAGCAGCCCTGAGTCTTCACCCTTTAAAATTTTCCTCCTTTGCTAGGAAACTGAAACAGTTCTCTAAATAAAATGCATATATCCAATGAATTATTAGCTTTTCGTTCTTCAAGGATTAATTTGCTGGTGATCCTGAAGTTTAATACTACGTCTGCTTTTATCACTTGCAGGGCTCTGGTGGGAGCAGGTTGGGGACTTGGCACCTGGGTTGCGATTAGAATTCCTAGTCAAGTTTGCAGCACTTTTACATTCTAGAGGCATTGGAGCACATTCCAACAGATTCACACGGAGAGAAGGAATAAGATCGACAAGGAAACATTTGTTGTGTTTATTAACTACAACCTTAAGTTAGCAAGGCAGATGAAAACAATGTCCATGGATTCCGACCCCATTCAGTTTGACGATATTGATATGACCTCAGAGTGGGTAGGGGAAAGTGAAAACCCTAGCCCGACGCAGTGGCTTGATCGGTTACGTTCTGCTCTGGATGGGGGCGACTTGAACACCAGACAGTCCGGTGCTGCCATGTTCGGAAATGACCCTATCTTCGGCCTGTGACTCATCATGCACGGCTAGTCTCTGTACCATCTTGTGTTGGTTTGGTTTAAGGTATTGAAATGAAATCTGTAGTGGCCATGCATCAATGGCGCTGTATATTTAACTCTGTTAATGCATGAATGAAATCTGATTCAAATGTCTAACATTCCCTGCCTTGTAATCAGGTCATTATACCATTGTAAAATCTTTTTATTTTTACAGTGAAAAACAATCGGAGATCCTTATATGCATGAATTTAGTGTTTCTCAATATAGTTGTTCTGGAGTTCGTTATAGGACTACAACAGAAAATTAGGGAGATTAAGGAAGAAACATTTTAGAGGCCGGAAAAAAAGACAGAATTTTCTTGATAAGATGAAATATTATAAATTTGAGGTTTCAACTCAGAATGTCGAATGACAACATTTGATTGAAATTGAAGTATAAAAAACGAATTCAAGTTAAAACCATGTTTAATTCAAGATTTTTATACTCTTTTTTAGTGTTACCATAGTTTCTCACAAATATTTTGTACAACACCTTAATCTATTGACTGGTGGTGGACCAAAATAACGTTCGAACTAAGACCAAAGCGATCGGTGATCTTCAACCATGACTGGGATAGATGGTTATATAACCTAACATTAGATATAATTTTGAAATAATAATAATAATTAAATGATAAAAACAGAAATCAAGTAATGATTGAATGACCAAAAAAGTAATTTACCTTAAATTTATTTAAACTTTTTGTTTTGGCAAAAAGGCACCCGAGCTCCTGATTTTTTTTAAAAAAAAATCAATGTGGTTCTCATCTTATTTTTTTTGATCAATGTGGCCTCCAACTTACCACCGCAGGCGTGACCCAATTGGCAAAGCAAGAACTCTTGGGATTATGAGCTGGTCTCATGTCCTAGGTTCGAATCGCGCTGGTTGGGAACCCTGGAAAAAAGCGGAGGGACAAAGTGGTAGGTTATTTGAGTTCCTCCGGAAGTTGCCTTGTAGGGTCGGGTTCTTTAGCCTGGTCTTGGGAGGTCCTATGTTATAAAAAAATGGCCTCCAACTCAAAAAAAGAACTTAATGTGACATTTTGATCAACATTTTTCGTCATTAACCAACAATTCTTTTTTCGAGTTTAGTAACCAAAATAGAATAAAAAAATAATCGAGTGATGAATGGTGCAATTAACCAATTTTTAACAGCAGGAATGAGGGCCACATTTGATTTTTTTTCGAGTTAAAGGCCCACGTTAATCTAAAAAATAGGATGAACATTAATTTTTTTTTTTTTGAAAGTTCAGAGAGCTGGGTGACTTTTCGCCTTTTTGTTTTGACTGCGTGTCTTATTTATTGTTTTGCCGCCACTTCCCGCCAAAAAACACGAAAGGCAAGGCCCAAAACGAAGCCATTTTGTGATTTAGATCGGCTAGCCAAGCAACGTTTGTTCCAACTTGAAACTCTTGTCTACATTTTCTCCCCCTTTTCTCTTCGTGTCTGTGCAATTAAACTGTTGATTCGATTGTTTTGCAGTTAATTCTTCATCAATGGCGGCAGAAGCCAAAGTCCCATTCCCAAACTTCTACACCAAAACCCAACGCATTGTCTTCCTAATAGACTTGAACCCACTTCTCCATCTCCAAGACCCAAATCCTTACCTCAAATCCCTCGTTTCTTCTTCCAAAACACTCCTCTCTTTCCCTCCTCTCTCCTCTTCTCTCTTCTCTTTCAAACCCTTCTTTTCCTCTCTTTCCCCTTTCCTTTCCTCCTCTAAGCTCCCGTTTCCTTCCCTTTCTCTCTCATTCAACAGCTCAGATTCCACCTTCAACTCCCTCACCGATTTCCTCACTTCTATCGCCACCACAATTGACAGATCCTCCTTCCCTTTGTGCACTTCTCGGGCTTCAAATATCGCCGCCTCCTTGCGCCAGCTCGTTCATGACTACGCCTGGGACCCGCTGATCTCCGATCCGGTGGCCGGTGCGTTATTTGAATCTGATGAGTCCCTTTTAATTAGGTCTAATTTGGTGGTTTTGTTGTCTCCGGTTTATAGGGAGTTGAATTGGCTACGTGAATTCTTCGATGTGGGAATGGGTACTGAATGTTTGAATGATTTGGGTGGTTTTGTCAAAGAGTTTTGTGGGGTTTTTGAGAGTGTCAATGATGCGTTTGTCAGTAGGGATATTCATTGTTGTTGGGTTGATTTGAAGTTTCAGCCTTTGGAAGATGGAGATTTAGAAAATTCGGGGTTTGGGTTTTTGGAGAGTGGAATTAGGAGTTTAGGGTGGGGATTCCTTTCTTCGGATTCTATTGTTTTAGGCTCTGCTGTTGTTCCTTTTGGTTTGATTTATCCTAATATTGCTTTTTCAGCGAGCATTTTTCATGTCGATGCATCTGGCAGAAGGAATGCCCAATTAAGTCTTGAGATATTAGATGCCAACGGGAAGCCATTGGAATGTAAGTGCTGTGAGCTTGAGTTTGTTGATTTCGAAACCTGTTTGAGTAATGAACAAATGAGAGCTGATAACCATAGGAATAGCTCCTTGTTGGATCAGTATTTGGATGGAGTAACGAAAGTACATGTTAGAGCGCTGAGGAGGTATGATGAGTGTGAGAAATTAGAGGGACGCTTATTGAATCCGATCATCGTTTGTGAATACTTGGGAAAATCTAGGAAATATCGAAAAGATGATTTGGGTGAGTTTTGTGCTGATAGAGTTCTTCAAATACTTGCAAGGGATATGGGTGAATCATTGGTGAGAAAACCTGTTGGGATTTGGCAAATCTTCTTGAGTTTTCTTTATAGGGAAGGTTACTGGGCATTGGTATCTCTTTCGGATGGTGATTCCGGTTTACAAGCCGGAATCCTTAAGCCATTCACTGTCTTTTCAGCTATGCTTTGTATAATTGGCGATGAGTTCTGCCCCAACAAGAAGTTTGTAGAATATGGTAAGGTGGATTTAGCTGCATATGTTGCAAAAGGAGATGATAAAACTTCCAAGCTTCATGTTGATTCAAACAATGCTCTCAGGCTTTTGGATTATCGATTTCAGTCCTCACCTTCCCACAAGTTTTCTGCAAAAAGGAAGAAGGACAAAAGGAAGTTGCCCTTGCCTCACGACCTCACTTGGAGTGCCTTCTGTGAAGCAGCAGCTGAACATTTGGAAATGGATTTAGAAGCAAGTTATTTTTCTAGGAACCGTAACTCGAAGAAGTTAAAATTTCTGAAATGCTGGATGAAGCAGGTTCAAAAACGTAGTCCGATGAGCTTTGAGATAACTGAGAGTGCCATTCCAGTTCAGGATGCCACAGAGGAAATCAATCATAGACCAATGGAGTTGCCTCAAGATAGTGAACAACTGGAGTCTTATTCTGCATCGGCTGGAGAAGGCTTTTCAAGAGAGTTAGATGAAGCTGGTAATGATTTTTGCTCGGGATCTTCGGAAAATTTCTTCAGTAGTCTCCCTGATAAAATTAAACAAGGGCTAGAATCTGCAGAAGTGGAATTAGGGGCTTTTGCAGAACGGCTCATACAATCTTCTATTTATTGGTTGTGTCAAAAACATGAGACTGAAATGGTTTCGGAAAGTCAAACCTCGCCGGTGAAAACTAGTGATGCTTGTGCTAGCAAAGCTGTTGTTGAACTAATCAAACTTCTATTGAGGGAGCCTAAGGACTTAGTTGCTATGCATAAAAGGAAGGATCCATCTTCTCAGGCATCGGATTCAAAGTCTACTGGATCTGCTTCAGTTAGTGTCGTTAGAGAGTATCCTTTAAGATTCACTATTTCCTTATTTCACTAGTGACAATTTCTCTTTTCTTGATTCTATGCTTGACAGTGATTTTTTTTTTGCTCTTAGAATGTGAACAATTGGCTCTAAGCTCCACACATTTCCTTAATAAGAACTAAGATATGAATTGCAGATTTTGTTTCGAATGGAGATTCTTCAGTCGGAAGTTGGTGCAATTCTCCAGGAGCCTATGAAGCAGAAATTTGTAAAACAAATTTGCTCGCTATTGGAGTCTATTCAGTGCCATCTTGAGGGCGGTTTTTTTGGTGATTGGAGGCTTGACAAGTATGTGGAGAAAATCATAAAGAGCAGGTACATAATGTTGCTCCGACTCTTCATTTTTTGTTTTAGTACCGTGTCTCTTACCCATGTCCAGTGCTTATTTGGACAGGAGTATGGGAGAAACCTGATGCTGCATAAATTATTGCTTTCTAGAGAAGTTCTAATTGCTAAGTAAATAAATTTTGGAACATTTCATTTCAGGTATTATCTCTCTGTTGGAGATGTTGTCGATCGAATCTATACGAAGATGGATCTGTTGCTGTTTGATGATGGGGATGAATTGCCTAATCATGTACAAAACAGCAAGGACAGTAACCGATCCTGGAAAGAGAAACCCGAGGAAGATGTACACTCCAGAAGTTATGAACCAGTTTCAATAGAAGAGGAGTGCCCCCAACTGCAGAAACATGATAAAAAAAGAAGTCCCCTAGTAATGAGGACCGAAGAGCATGAATTGAAACTGATTCAGGCTCAGGAGAGGAGGGAGAGGGCTCGACGCTTCTCATCTTTCACAAGTTGGATGCCAGATTTGCAGAGAGTTTGGGCTCCAAAGCAGCCTAATACAATGAAACGCAAGTCCGATAATCTTCGAAAACTATCGAAAAGGAAAAACTGTAGCAAGGCAAGCTATGACACTGTATGTGAGACTCCAATGACGGAAAAGAAGCGGTCAAGCCCGAACAGAAATGCCATTGATGATGAAGAAGATAATAGAGATAGCAGACCTCACCCTCACGGTCCTGTCTCAAAGGCTTTGTTCCAAAATGACATGTAATAAGAATTATGGTTTCCTTCCAGCAGCCAACATAATACGGTGAGGGATGCCGAGCCCCTTGAAAGGAAGGTGCTTGCTGCCATGAATACACTATTTATTTAACATTGCATAATTTAACCGTACTGGTTTAATGTTAATCAGTCTCTGATTGTTTGTGAAGTAGTTATGTAACCTGTCTTGATTGTCATTAACTGTTCATATGATTAATTTCATGTAAACTTTCAGCCTTAAACGTTAAATAAGATGTCTATTCTTTTTCCCCCCTTAAGAGGAAAAAGAGTTCCTTTTTATATATTTTCATAGGCCTAAACTTCTCTCGTTTTGTGTAGTTAAAGCTAGCATTTGAAAAGCCAACATTTGCTAATGAGAGCCATCACTCCTCGTTGCCGCCATTTCTCATCTGCCAAGCAACTAAAAGACTTAGTTTCATCATCATCAACCCCAAAACCTGAATTTCTTCATTCCATTCTCAGTGAAGATTTATGCGGTGAAATATTGAACCAATACCCAGATATCAGAACATTGAAAAAACTCCATTCCAAGATACTCAATAACCGGCATCTTCGTTTCAACCCAACTATAGCCATCAAATTGATGAGAGCCTACGCAGCTTGCGGAGATCCAGCAGTTGCACGCCACATATTCGATGAAATGACTGAAAAGAACATCGTTTTCTTTAACGTCATGATAAGAAGCTATGTAGGCAACGGTTGCTATCACGATGCTCTTCTTATGTTCAAAGAAGTATCTAGCCATGGTTTGCGCCCTGATCACTATACGTACCCTTGTGTCTTAAAGGCATGTTCTAGGTCAGATAATTTGCGGGTGGGTTTGCAAATCCATGGTGATGTGGTTAAAGTTGGTCTTGACTTGAATCTTTTTATAGGGAATGGGCTGATTGCTATGTATTCCAAGTGTAGATTTTTGGTCCAAGCGCGGCGAGCTTTTGATGAGATGCCGATTAGAGATATTGTTTCTTGGAATTCAATGGTTTCTGGATACGCACAGAATGAATGCTTTGATCAAGCACTGGTTGTTTGTAGGGAAATGAAGTTACTGGGGATAAAACCCGATGCTGGGACTATGTCCAGCCTATTACCAGCAGTGACCAACACTTCCTCCGATAATATTTCGTTTGTTAAAGAAATGTTTTCGAAGTTGGCTCGAAAGAGCGTCGTTCCTTGGAATGTGATGATTTCGATTTTTGTGAACAATTCATTGTCAAGTGAAGCCGTGGATTTGTTTTCGCAGATGGAGGCATATGGTATCGAACCAGATTCTTTTACCATTGCTAGTATCCTTCCTGCTTGTGGTGATCTTTCGGCTATTTTTCTCGGAAGACGAATTCATGAATATATCAATAGGAAGAAACTCTTTCTGAACTTGGCACTGGATAATGCACTAATTGACATGTATGCAAAGTGTGGATGCTTAAAAGAAGCGAAGGCGGTGTTCGATCAGATGAAGTTTCGGGATATTGTGTCATGGACTTCTATGATCTCAGCTTATGGAATGAGTGGCCAAGGTGACAAAGCTATGTCCCTTTTCTCTAAAATGCAAAACTCGGGTCTGACTCCAGATTCTATTGCATTCGTGTCGGTTCTTTCGGCTTGTAGCCATGCAGGGTTACTGGACCAAGGTTGGTATTTCTTTAACTTGATGACAGACCAACATAAAATTCTTCCCAGGGTAGAGCATTTTGCTTGTATGGTTGATTTACTTGGACGTTCCGGGCAAGTAGAAGAAGCCTATAATTTCATCAGAAAGATGCCAATTGAACATACTGAGAGGATATGGGGAACTTTGTTGGGTGCCTGTTGGATGCATTCTAACATGAATATCGGACTCCTTGCTGCTGATCATCTTTTCCGATTAGCACCGGAGCCGTCCGGATATTATGTCTTGTTATCGAACATATATGCGAAGGCTGGTAGATGGGAAGATGTTACAACTGTTAGATCTATCATGAAGAGCAAAGGGATCAAGAAAATGGCTGGTGCTAGCAATACCGAGATCGACAATCAGGTTTATACCTTTCTTGCCGGTGATCAGTCGCATCCACAGTCGAGGGAAATCTACAAGAAATTAGATTTTCTGGTGGGGAAAATAAAAGAGGCCGGTTATGTCCCGGAAACTCAGTCCGCACTTCATGATGTTGAGGAGGAAGATAAGGAAGGCCATCTGGCTGTTCACAGTGAGAAGTTAGCTATAGTCTTCGCCATTTTAAATACTAAACCCGGGACACCCATTCGAATCACCAAGAATCTCCGTATATGCGGCGATTGCCATGTCGCTGCTAAACTCATTTCACAAATCACCGAACGCGAGATCATAGTCAGGGATACGTATCGGTTTCACCATTTCCAATACGGTGTTTGCTCATGTGGAGATTACTGGTGAATCGATTTCGGAGAACTGCTCCCGAATTCACATGATACCGGAATATAAGCAACAGAGAGATCAGCTGTCTATCGTTTAATCGGATTCGGCAGGCCATAGTTGTACGTCGGTCTTGATACTACTGAATTCCGGTGCAATGATTCTACCGAGAAGTCTTTAGACCATTTTGATCATCTTATAAGTGGCTAGGCTCGATGTCTGTTTTGAGAGGTAGGTGGTGTTATATATGCTTCATTTAGCTTACAAAAACCGGTCACGGTTCATGCTTAGTTATTCATTGGTATTGTCACCTTTATACATTTGGTTGGTGGTTTCTGGGTTTGATTCGAAAAATAACTTGAGTTCAATTTGATATAAACAAAACCTATCTTATAAATCGAGTTAAATTTGGATTAAGATATAATATTATTTAATTATCATTTTTGAATGGTTACCCTTTATTATAAATATTTGGCAAAAAGGTTGAGGTATATATATATATATATATATATATATATATATATATATATATATATATATATATATTTTTTAAAAATCGATGTCACCATTATATTATTTGTCCTTTTAATGTGGTATTTGAACTTAGAAAATAAATTTAATATAATTTTTTGACCTATGATTTTCTTCTTGGACCGTTACGGTATCGATGTGACAGTCTACTATGATTGATGACACAACGGATGACATGATAGATATTTTAAATTGTATTTTTAGTTTTGTTTGGAGGTTAAGTTGATTTTTTTAAAGTTTAAGGACTTATTTAGTTTTATAAATAAATAAAATTATTTTAAATTCTAAATATAAAATTATTTAAATATTCAAAAAAATAAATATAAAAATATCCTAAAAATAAAAATTAAATTACTAGAAAAATTAAATATACATATTAATAAAATACTAAAACTAGTATATTATTTTAAAAAAATTGAATATATATATAATAGGTTATAAAATAATTACTTATAAATTATTTAAAAAAAATAAAAATACTTTTAAAATTAATTAGCTTCGACTGTTAATATCAAACAGGGTGTTTTAAACAACTCCACAGATTATCAAGCCATCTTATAAGCCCACGACAAGTTGCACAAATATCCTCTTATATAACTGACACTAATTTTCTCTAATATCCTCTTTCTGACATCGCTTGACCAATATTTCTCGAAGTGACACCCTTTCGGCTGAGTTGGCGAAAGGCGCGTCCCTGGGGATGCGCTTTACCCGTGTTTTCGCTGACTCGACTGCCACGTGTGGAAGGCGCATCCCCGGGAACGCGCATTCACTGACTCGACTGCCACGTGTGGAAGGTGCATCCCCGGAGACGCGCCTTCCATTAAATGCCATAAATGCCCCCATCCGTTTTCCCTAACTACCCCCTCCTCCCCTATATAAACCCCCTCAACCCTCCATCATTCTTCACACCAAAATCATATTCTCATCTCTTATATAACTCAAATTCTTCAACTATTTGAGTTTTAAATTTGTTATTAGTGGTAAGAAATTTATTTTTATGTTAGTATTTTTTAAAATAGTTATTATATTTTATATTAATATATTTATGTAAATATTATTTTTTTATTAAAATAATATTTATATTATTATTTATTTAGAATTATTAATTTTTTTGCTAATTATATTGTTTTGTCTACAGTTATAATGGAAAACGAAATGCTGTTGCGATTGGATATTGATCATATCTCCAGACATTTTAGCGATATGGTAATATTTTTTATAATTAATGTTAATATTTAAATTTATTTTTATTTTAAAGTTATTATGAATTTATATTAATTTTTATTTTTTATAATGAATATTATTTAGGATACTGATCGTATTTTAGAGACTTTTATTAAAAATCCACGTATACCGACACCGGAACGTATTTTGCCATATTTGGCTTCTGCCGGGTTCGGGTATATTGCAACAATTATAGGCGGTTGCAAACTCGAACCTGTCCTAATTTCTGCACTGGTTGAGAGGTGGAGGCCCGAGACACACACTTTTCATCTTCCATGTAGAGAGGCCACAATTACATTGGAGGATGTCTCTATGCATCTGGGGCTTCCCGTCGACGGAAATATGATGTGTGGTATGGCGGATGGTGATTGGCAATCAATGTGCATTGATTATCTTGGAGCTGCTCCGTCAGAGTTTAATGGAGGTAGAATAGCTTTATCTTAGTTGAAAGCTAATTTTGAGGTTTTAAATGAAAATGCTTCAGAGGATCAAGCAAAGGCATGTGCTCGGGCATATATTCTACGAATAATTGGAGGAATATTGATGCCCGACAAATCTCGCAACCAGGTGCATTGTATGTGGTTGCGGCATCTGATCGATTTTGATGAAGCTGGAAGATATAGTTGGGGCACTGCAGTTTTGGCATTTCTCTTTAGAGAAATGTGTCGGGCGACAAATTATAAGAAAACTGCTATCGGTGGATGTCTTCTGCTTCTACAATCATGGGCGTGGTTCCGCATGCCTTTCTTATGCCTGATCGTGAATGAACCATACGTATTCCCCTTATTGTTGAGGTAATTTTCGAACTAAATTTTGATTTAAATATATTTTCAATTAAATAGGGTTATATTTAGTTTATATTATAATTCATAGGTGGTCGATGAAAAGAAAGTACCATAAAAGTATACCTACTGGGTTAGAGGAAATTCGTTTACTTATTGATACGAAAGCTGGGTCTGAGGTATGTTTTTAAATTTGTTTAATTATTAATATTTTAATTTAAAATGCTAGATATAATTAGAATATTTTATTTATTTGAATTGTATATTTATATTTCAGTTTCAGTGGATACCTTATGCGAGCGATGAAGTGAAAGCTTGCATCCCACCCCACCTTAGTGGGTCATTAGACGTATGGATATCAGTTATACCTCTTATATGTTATGCTATTATTGAGTGGCATCCATTTGATCGCGTGCTCCTTCAGTATGGTTGTACGCAATATATTCCTGGAGCACCTAGGAATTTAGACAACGTGCATAACATAGATAGACGAGGAAAGAAAGATGTTAACTGGGTGGTGAGACACAGAGATTGGATTGTGCTTTGGGGAGAACCGATATACACTGTTGGCCCCTCGACAATATTACGCTGAAACTGGTCATATGGTTACGGATAACTATATGGACTGGTTTAATGAAAATGGGAAGCTGTTTCTACTTTCGGCGGAAGCACGAGGGGTTAACATTCCTAGGCGCCGAGAAAGACGTCAACCGTCTCAATATCATCGTCCCCCGACGCGTGGACGGAGAGAAGGCGCTACCGGTTCTGCATCAGTCCCACCACAACATCCTTATCCGTCGATGCCGTAGGGGTACATGCCCAGCCCTCCACTTCATATGTCAAGCCCACCAATTTATATGCCATCTCCGCAGGGTTACATTCCGAGCCTGCAGGGTTACATTCCTAGCCCGCCAGGTTACATGCCTAACCCGCAGGGTTTTATACCATATGGAGGTGCATATACGACTATGTTTAATGATCCAGCATATGGTTCATATGCATCTTATTTGGCTGGTGGTGCTTCTCCGCAGACACCTCAATCTCCATCTGGATCACAGACATCGATGCCAATGTTTCCACAGTTTTCACAGTTCCCGGGGAGCGGTGGGATTGTTACTAGCACTCCTCCAGGGTCGTTATTTTATACAGGCCCTTCAGCCCCTTCAGCGTCATCTACACCAAATGAAGAAAATGCTGCTGATGATGATAGTGAAGATGAGGAGACTGAAGAACAAGTTCCACGAAGAAATCCTCCACGAAATAGACAACCACCGCCATGTGGAACTCATTCGAGAAGACGACATCGGTGATCCAGTTGTATTTAATGTTATTTAAATAGTTATATTTTAGAATTTTATGTAATTTGGTTATGTTATTTAAATGTTTCATGGTTGTTACATACATATTTTTAATGTTATTTTTTATTCACATTTAACATTAAATGTTTGATAAATGTTTTTAAAATACAAATTATATTATTCGAAATTTAAAATAAAAATAAAAATAATATTATTCGAAATTTAAATTTAAAATATAAATTATAGTATTCGAAATTTAAAATTAAATTTCAACTTAATATTCCAATTGTATTCGAAATTAAAAGTTATATTCCAATTATAGTTCACAATACTTAAATTGAAATTAAATTTATCCATACATATGATTTTATCATTAACATATATATTAAAACGTATACATTAAAATCAACTTATGTTGAGTTAATCGATCGACGGAAACGTATACATTAAAAGTTATATTCTCAATCAAAGTCTACGTCCACTACCTTAGCTATCCACACTAAGGATTTTCTACAAATTCACTAATTTGTCTTTCTTTTGAGGACAAAGAGTAACCTTACAAACCCTCAAGAATTATACCCTAAATTCTTGAGAAAAACTCTCTCCCAAAGAGAACAATACAAATTTGCAAACTTACAAGGAAATCCTCACAAGGTAGATTGTTTTCACAATTCTAGAACAAAGAAAAGAACACTCAAAGATGAATACAATTGAGCACAATATGTGTTCTTGAAAGCAAAATGAATATTGAATGAAAATAGGCTTGAAATGCTCAAACTTGAGGTTTGATGCTTTCTCTTTGATTCTCTTGTGATTCTAGTTGCTTGATGTTTCTTGTTTTTGATCAATGGCTTCTAAGCTTGCTTAAATACACCTTGAATCACTTCTGAACGTTAGGGATGATTAATGAAGATAATATAGCCGTTTAAGTGTGAAAACATTTAATAAAAATGCTTGGAGCGTGGGGGGAATCGGTTCCCTAAGTGTAAAATTCAAATATTTCTACCGTTGAATAAGGGGAATCGGTACCCCCTATGGGGGGAATCGGTTCCCTCCGAGCATTCTGGAAATCTCGGAGCCAAACCATTCAGGGGGGAATCGGTACCCCCTTGGGGTGAATTGGTTCCCTCTGAGCAATCTAGAATTTTTGGCTTTGAAATGGTTCGAAATACTTTGAAAGATTATTTTGAAATTGTTTTAAGATTAAAACTTAATTTTACACTTAAGTAAGGATTAAAAATGATTTTTGAAATATTTGGAGTAATGTTTTGATATTCGAATAATTATATCGAATATACTTAGAAAATCATTTGGAAAATCTTAAAATTCATTTAACTTAATTTGTTATATCGAAATATCAAAATGTTTTCAACAACTTATGACTTCACATTTATTCGTA